TTTGACCGGGCTGACGGGGATGTTGAGGCGGGCGTCGATGTCCTCCACTGTCTCGTTGCCCTCCGAGATGATGCCCACTCCCTTGGCAATGGCCTTGGCCGTGATGGGGTGGTCCCCGGTCACCATGATCACCTTGGGGGGGACACACACAGAGGGGTGACCCCTGCTCAGGGGAGAGCCTGGGGGGGGCAGGGGGTGCACGGGGGGGGTCTTACCTTAATGCCAGCGCTGCGGCACTTGCCCACAGCATCGGGGACGGCAGCGCGGGGGGGGTCGATCATGGACATCAGCCCCACGAAGCAGAGGTTGCTGGTGGGGAAGTTGACCTCGTCGGCGTCGAACCTGAACCCGCGGGGGAACTTGTCCGGGGGCAGGTAGAGGTGGCAGAAACCTGGTGGGCGCCGGCAGGTGACGGGGTGTGGTCACCCACAGGCACCCACGGGCACCCCCTTCCCTCGCCTGGTACTCCTCATCCTCGCCACGACCCCCCGCTGCCACCTTTGCCCCCACATCCCTTATGTCTCCCCAGTGCTCATCCCGCCCATCCCCTTCACCAGTGCCCCCCGTGCGTCCTGCCCCCTGTGTCCCCATGGTCCTACATCCCATGTCCTCCACACACCACGTCCCCTTGTCCCCTGTGTGCCCCGTCCCCCCACGTCCCCTGTGTCCCTAAGCCTGATCCCCCCCACGCTGTGTCCCCATGTCCCTCTCTGTTCATGCCCCTGCCACGTCCTCCATGTCTCTATGTCCTTCACATCCCCTGTCCCTTTGCCCCCACATCCTTCATATTGCCCTGCCACCACGTCCCCCATGCCCCCCACGTCCCCAATATCCCCCGTCACCCCACCTCGCGCCCCCATGTCCCTACACCCCATGGCGGTCCAGGATGCGCTCGGGGGCCCCCTTCATCACCAGCAGGTACCCCTGGGGGTCCTCCTCTCGCTCGTGGATGGAGAGCTGCGGGCACAGTGGGCACGCTGGCACCGGGCGGCACCCACCGGCCGCCCCGGGGTCACCGCTGCCACCGCCAGCCCGGCAGACCTGGTACTTGTTGGTGGAGTTGAAGGGGATCTCGGTGACTTTGGGGTTCTTGTCCCGCATCTTCTTGACGGAGCCGCAGGAGAGCTGGATGCACTTCAGCAGCGCCGACTCCGAGGCGTCGCCTGCCGTGTCCCGCTGGCATGGGGAAGGGTGCTGAGGGTGATGCCGGCGGTACGGGGGGCACCGGGAGCAGCACCACCCTGGCTCTCGGCAGGATTCAGGGGGTTCTGGGGGGTCAGCATCCACCTACCTTGGAAATGGAGATGTTTTCCTGGCCTGGCTTGAAGACAGCACGGTTGCACAGCCCGGCAATGCGTGCCAGTGCCGCCCAGGTGGGCGAGCGCTTGTCAAAGGTGGCACCTGGGGGACAGCGGCCCTGTCAGCCACGCCGGGGACCCCCCATCTCCTCTGGGGACACCTCCCGCCCTCCCAGAGGTGCCCTGGGGATCCAGAGAAGGAGGTGCCCAGGGAAGGGGGTGCTGAAGGCAAGGGGGTGCCCAGGAGAAGGGGTGCCAGGGCAGTGACATCTGGGTGCAGAGGCAAGAAAGGAGGTGCTCCTGAGGTTGGGGGGGTCACGGTGCCAGCCACCCACCCGACTGGTCCTCGGTGGTGTCGGCCTCGTGGATCTGGTTGTCGAACCACATGTGGGCGACGGTCATGCGGTTCTGGGTGAGGGTCCCCGTCTTGTCAGAGCAGATGGTGGAGGTGGAGCCCAGCGTCTCCACCGCCTCCAGGTTCTTCACCAGGCAGTTCTTGCGCGCCATCCGCTTGGCCGTCAGCGTCAGGCACACCTGGGGGGCACCGCGGGGCTCAGCAGGCACCCATGGGGCAAGCACCAGGCACCGGGCATTGCTGGGTGCACCAGGGCCTCTCCACCGCCTCCAGGTTCTTCACCAGGCAGTTCTTGCGCGCCATCCGCTTGGCCGTCAGCGTCAGGCACACCTGGGGGGCACGGGTCCCAGTGGGGGGGCCGGACCCCCCGGCGGGGCGACAGAGACCCCGTGGGGTCCCCACTGCATGCACGGCCCCACGGTGCATGCGCAGAGCCCCTGCTGCACCCCAGCCTGGACCCACAGCCCCCTTTGCATCCCCTTTGCATGCACAGACCCCCCCAGTGCATGCACAGACCCTCCATTGCACCCCAATACTGGACCCACAGCCCCCTTTGCACCCCCTTTGCATGCACAGACCCCCCCAGTGCATGCACAGACACTCCATTGCACCCCAATACTGGAAGAAGGAGAGGCCGAGGAAGACGGCGACGCCGGTGATGAGGCGGATGAAGTGCTCGATCTCCATGGCGATGGGCGTGCGCCCCACCTCCAGCCCCGAAGCCAGCGAGGCAATGCGCCCCATCACCGTCCGGTCCCCCGTGGAGATGACGATGCCGCGGGCGGTGCCTGGCAGGACGGGGAGGGGTGACGTGGCCCCGGGGGGCACCGGGGACGACCCCCCCCACACAGGCAGGGACCCCGGGGACCCACCTTCCACGCAGTTGGTGGAGAAGAAGCAGATGTTGCGGGTCTCCAGTGGGTTCTCGTGGGTGAACTCGGGCGAGCGGGTCTGCGGCTCCGACTCCCCCGTCAGCGATGAGTTGTCCACCTGGCGCCGCGGGCACAGGTGGGTGCCAGCAGGCACCAGGCACCACCGGGCTCAGCTGGACTCGGGCCAGCCCCGCAGTCCCCATGCCAGCCCTGCTGCCCACCCCATGCCCTCCATGGTGCCCACCTCTATAAGTCATGGTACCCGCGCCATACTGGTCCCCATGCCCACATCATGCTAGTCCCAGTGCCCACCCCACACCAGCCACAGTGCCTGACCCATGCCACCCCTGCTGCCCATCCCATATCACCACCAGTGCTCACCCTGTGCTGCCCACCCAATACCAGTCCCGCTGCCCAAACCATGCCAGTCCTGGTGCCCACCCTGTCACCAGCAGCACCCGTCCCGTGCCGTCCCAGTGCCCACCAGTGCCCACTCACCTTGCAGCCGTGGGAGGAGATGATGCGCATGTCGGCGGGCACCCGGTCCCCCCCCTTCACCTCCACCAGGTCGCCCACCACCACGTTTTCTGCGTTGATCTGGATCTTCTCGCCCTCGCGGATCACCAGTGCTTGCTGCCAGGGTGCAGGGCGCCCTGAGGGATGCCCAGGCACCCCCACCCCACCCGGGACCCCCGCACCGAGTGCCCACTCGGGGCTCCTACCTGGGGCACCATGTTCTTGAAGGAGTCCATGATCTTGGAGCTTTTGGCCTCTTGGTAGTAGGAGAAGCAGCCAGTGACGATGACGACGGCGGCCAGCACCACCCCCAGGTACAGCTGGGACCCAGGTGGCACCTCAGCACCCAGCAGCCCAGGGTGCAGGGTGGGACCCCCCGGGTGCCCCCCAGCACAGGGCGCTAGGGAGGGGACCCCTGTGCCAGCCTCCCACATCCAGACCCCCCCCAAGAGCTGGCACATGGTGGCCGGGGGCATGTGCCCGTGCCCATGCCACCTCCAGTGTTCGTGCATCCCAGGCTGCTCATGAACCCCACGCCACCCGCCGCCCGTGCCCCCCCAGCGCCCATGCCCCCCGGGTGCCCTCACGTTGTCGTTGGAGGGCTCGTCTTCCATGGCAGCCTGGATGCCGTAGGCCAGGAAGCAGAGGATGGCCCCGATCCAGAGGAGGATGGAGAAGCCCCCGAAGAGCTGGCGGCAGAACTTGACCCACTCGGGGGTGGTGGGAGGGGGCGTCAGGGCGTTGGGGCCATCCTGCACCAG